CATGAAAAATTTACCTGTATGATTTCACTGAAATATTCTGCATGTGTTTACAAACCTCGTAGTTCACTGAATTTAATATATAACACAATGCAGTGTGACATGTAAGCACTTCAAGCAGTTGCTGGCTTTCTTTATGAATATTTTATGCTGAAATCAAGGTTTTCCTGTACTTATTTTATGTACTTACTTATTTTAGCCTCATTTCACAACTTACAGAACAGTGCAGTAAAGCAGAAAGAAACTTGAGCTCTATTTTTATTATCTACAAATATATGAATTTCTTCACAGAATGACTTGGCTTTGTCTAAACAGATAAAATTTTAAAGTAAAACTTATTAAAAGCACATGGCTAAATTATTTTAATACATACAAATGAATGGTTTGCAAAATTGTCATCTAAATAACACAACCTTCTGTCCTGACCCAGTATTAAGATTTGCAAAAGTGGATCCATGAGCTTATCCAAGGCTCCACTGAAATCAGTAGCAGCACCTGAGCCTATTCTAATGCTTAGCCAGACTAGGTCATTTTGTACTTTCAGGCATAATTGGTGCCTTAAATCACTTTGAGAATTGAATGCATTTTAAATTAGTCATTATAGCTAATCTGAAAAACAATCTCTTCCTAGATACCAGCTATTCTAGTGATAATAGATTTCTGATTACCTTTGCACATCTGATTAAGGCTAAGCTGGGCACTGTCAAAGCAAAAATGACAGGACTGCCAAGAAAAGCAGGAGAAAGTAATCACAGCTTTTTTTTTCACCTGAACAGAAAATAGATAGGCATTGCAAAGCAGATTTTCAAGAACAAAAATTTGGCCACAACTTTACTTGCTATTGTCCGTTAGCCAGATTTTTATATTTACAAAAAAAAATGACAATGATAATTGATTCAAGCTTTCCTTTCCTTAACTAGTTAACTTTTAACTGAACACTGGACAAGGCTATTGTAACTTACCCTTTGTTATTAAAATACATTCTAGAGTTCTGTACCACATATTGTTTTTATAATAATCAAGCCAAATTTAAAGCTCAGTTGTTTCTGGTCTTTATTGTTGAACAATGTTCTAAGTGTCCAGATGTGTGGCATTAGTTTGTAGAAAGCAATGACATATAGCATATTTACATTCCTTGCTATCCAAATCCAGACCAGACACTCCTACTTCTCAGTGTTTCTCATGACCACTGGGGCAAAAGCCTGTTGATTTCATGTTTTTTTAAGCTGATTTCAACTCTCATGTGACTTATGCTTGCCAAGTGTGTAGTTAATATTCAAAAATCATTGTCTATTTTGGAGACTGGTGAATAAAAAACAGAACACAGAGATGGGCTAATTATAGAAGTATGAACATGCCTTACTCCATAAACACGAGTAATACGGTGATGCTAAAAACATACACCTTACTGTACAGTCCTACATAATGTGGAAGATGTGCTCTCCAATGATCACATCATACTATTTTGCCCTGAGCATAAAATATTACAACAACAGATTTTTAAATTTAGGATGAAGATTATTCAACTGTATATTTCTCATAGGCCCAAAGTATAATCTAAATCTGAATATTAAAGGCCTCCATGATGCACAACGGAATGACAGAAAGGTATACACTGCTCTGAGGAGAATTGTGTTCTTACTTATTATTCCTGTATTTAGCAAGGAGTACTTGTATAAATGCTAAATGGTATAAATATTAAACAATCTACTCATGAAAATGCAAAATATTCTCCTTTTCTATAAACTGATGAATAAATCATTTCTATTAGGATTAACAGGCCAAATTCTACTTGGAGATATTCCAGCACACTCTGGCCTTATTAGAAACTTTATTTCGTTTTAACTCCATGTAAAGCTTAATAATCTTGAAAGGATAGTTTGTCTACGTAGTCTATACAGTTTCCTATCTGTAAGATAAGGTGTTGTGAAGTTATGTAGCTTGTATAAGTTCTGCAGCAGGGACTAGACTTGAACCCTTATCTTCAAAGTCCCTGCCTTATCATTCATTTTCCCCCCAAGTCTCCACATGATGTCTTGTTTTGCTTGCATAGCCTACTTTTGATGCAGTCAACAGTTTGGTATAGTTTGTTTAAAAATACCACTTATCATTCCATAATATAACTAATTGCAATAATACTCTTGTTTACGTACTATTAATAAACAAAACAAGTTGTCTTTGGACAATAAGCATCTGGAATCCTTGAAGATCTCCAGTTGCACTACACCAAAAAGGAAGCAAAATATTTGAAACAATCCCCTTTAAAAAGCAGTTTGGTAACGCAGCGTATGACAAACCTATTCCTACACCAGCTACTGTGACAAAAAGTAACTACAACAAGTGTCTCCCTAACAGACAGAACACCGTATTTTGAGGGTGTTCACAGGTGATCTCTACAGGAAAATCATCTGTACAGAAGCATCTCTGATATCTATTTTGGCCAGTGTTTCAAGGAGATGCTGTTCAACGTACCCTTTCTAAACTTTCATGTTAAATAGAGCCCAACACTAAACATGACCAGAAGGATACAGGCACTTCTTTTCTACTGGTATGGGATTCCAGTCAAGCACCTAGCAGTAGAGTATTTAGCTGTGCAGACCAGATGAACGACAGGGCTAAAGATACACAAGGGTTAGAACTGAGGATTATTTTCTCCTAGTACGTTCAAAGAAAACATGATTTCAAATAAAGTTTGACTGCAGACACAGAGGCAGCTGAAGTTGAACAGCTGAAGCCGCAACTGAGTACACATCAGCACTCAGTTTGTAGATCAGAAGGGTACACAAGCAACACAAGTCTGAAAGAACAAAGCCAAAAGGAACAGAACGTATCTGAGACAGTCTGTTTTCTTCCCCAATTTGGAGAGCTACACTCTGTTGGGCAAAAATGATGGAGACTATGTACTATGAGAAGAGTGAAAATATGGTCTTCATCTGAACATACTTGCTGTAAAACATCCCATCCAAAATACGATTACAGAGCGTGGTAAGCTGCAGCATGCAAAACTTTAGGAAAGAGTTGCGTGTGGAGGAAATTTAATTTCAGTTTTCAAAAATGTTAAAAAAAAGGGAATCTGGATTGTAGCTTTATGATCCACATAGATCATAAAGCAGAGATTTTTGAATATTCATAGTTACTCTACAAAGTTCAAAAAAAAAAACCACTCTCCAGTCATACACATTAAAAAGTATATCACAAAATATATTCTCAGATATGTTCAGCATGCTATATATAGCACAGTCAAAGTCAAAGAATATATACTTATAAAAGGTGAATGAACCATGTATCTAGCTCAAAATGAAGTGACCCACATTACTGCAAGACCAGTGATCAGAGTTCCCCAAATCTTAGTAGAGAAATCTAATTTTTAAAAGGATGTTTAATACCTTAGAGAGTGTCTTTGTTCTTCTCAGGAGCTGGCAAAATGGGATATCACCTTCTAGCATAACATACGTACTTATTTGAGAGTTTGTGCTGCATTGTACGCAATGACAGAGTGCAGAGCTCTCTATTTGCTATAGTTATGCACTGATGATAGATTATGAGTGAATTTATTTTTGTACAAGTGAACAATCCTAAATGTAAATGTTTATTAGAACTTCTGTTACCGCCTCAATCGAAGACATTAGTTAACCTGCTATTGCAGTGCAGTAAATGACAGTTTGCCTCTTTATTTTACTTTTTATAAACTTGTTATAAACATGTATCTTTATGCTACCCACACTTTATATTTTAGTATTTTATGCCAGATTTTCTGCTGGTCCAGTTACCAGCAGCAGCTGAATGGGTGAACTGACTGGAATGGTAATAACTCTAAGACATGTCAACCTAGACAAAGCTTAGGAAAGCCTAGATTTCTGTAGTTGGTGATGGAGGGAAAAAGGCAAGTGCAAATGGGAACACACAGTGCGCGAGGAGTTTCTGGGACATCCAAGCTTTTCTGCACATGCTGACAGCTGAAGAGTTAAGGATTCTTCAGTAGATGGACAATGGCAAAGGAAAGGCCTATGCTCTTGATAGCTATATATATCTTTATCTATATCTGTGAATGAATACAGAAGGATGAGAGCTCCATTGCCTCCCATCTGAGGAGTAAATAATACATAGCAAATTGCTTGTGAAATGAACCTCTGAAAGTCAGTGACGCAAAATACAGGAACATGTATCAAAAACGTAGTGAAAGTGAAATAAGGACTCCACTGGCAGCTTGCAAGTATTTCACTGAAATAGTGGAAATAGTACCTGGAAGACTTCTTGTATATGGCATAATAAGGATGCTGCCTTTGGGGTACATTGTCCATGGCTGGCACCAGTGTTTATAAAAGGATGCATTAGCGCTTCTGTAACAGCTTGACAATAGCAATCAAAAATGCTGAGCTCCTTGTCATTTTTGAACTCTTGGACCTGATCTCCCCGCCAGCTGGGGAGGGGACACCTCCTTGCATGCATCAGCACCTGCTAGAGAGAGAGTGCCCACTCAGAGGCTTCCCTCTGATCTTGAGCATGTGAAACCGTTTGCCAAATCTGGCCTTGGAACGATGTTCTCCCTTCAATAGGGCTAACCAGGATCTGGGAACTTTTTGCCAAACTATACAATGTAAGTGTAACAGATCACATGGCAGGATCATTCATTTAAACAGATTTCAATACTCAGCTTCCTGTCATTTCACTGTCAGAGGCATGATACTTACCACTGTAGGTAATCTTGCCTTCCAAAGTAAAATGGATTGGGTCCATTAAAGTGTATCTTTTCATATAAAAACTCAGCCTATTATAATCATCAGGTGATGATACTGTGTTTCTAAATGTCAAACTTGTACCTTGCTTATGGATTCTTTGCCACTCAAAAGGCATTTAAGACAACCAACATTATTAGTCCGTTTTTTCAGCATCACACACATACTGATTTACAGTCCATTGTAGCCAACAGTATAAAATATCTTTCTTTCAATTCCAGACTGTTATCATGATTGCTGTTAATAAAAAATAACCTTTGCACTCACCCCAGCCTTTGGTTTAGCTCCAGAGCTGGCAACTGAACAGGGAGATGCTAGGTCAGGAGCATGGATATTAGGAGACAAGTTTGTTTGTGAGTGATTTACTGAAGCAACATCCACTCCACTTTCAGAGCCAGATTCAACATCCTGTAAAAAAAAGTTTTAAGTCTTTTTAGCACATATGAACACAAAATAAAAAACTAGTTCTTCGAAATAACAGAAGTATTTATATAGGCTCAATCAACCATCCGCTTAATTCTCTTTGTAACAGTGTTTCTCCTTATTCTTTTCTGTTACCGACGCGTTCTCTTGCTGTCCTTCTTTTCATTCTGGTGTTTGCATTAGCTGCTGTTCTGAAATTATAAATCATCACTAACATCAAAGCTGTAATTCCCCTAAATGGTAGAATGCAAGGTAAGAAAAATCAGTTAAGGGCTGTAGAAGTCCGACATTTTTCTCTGATGTTCAGTATTTCCTGTGTGCTCCCACCTTCTGTCTCCGGCAGCACTGCAAGCTCACTGAACATCTGTACACCATTACACAGCTGAAATGACATCATCATTCAGCAGCTGATACAATTCAGAGGTACAGCTCCTTAGGTTTTAGAATCAGCAAGGACTTATCACCTAAATGTTGTTTCTGGTTAAAATGCCCTTCCTTTCTAAGGCAACAGTTACATTCCTTTTCTTGAGAATAGAAAGAAGAAGAAATATAAGATGCTTTATTTTTGAGGGAGTAAATATAGGCTTTTAAAAATACAGTGCATGCTTGATTCACTGTGCTGATGAGGGTAGGAGATTATATCGCTTGCGGATAAATTGTGACAAGTATCTGGCAAAGAGCTGATTATGCGTAGAACCAGCTAGATTCTGCCAGGTTCATTAGCTGAGGGGCAGCCTGTGTGAACACAGAGACACAGCGCACACAGAAAAGCCTGAACTGTTAACCTCAGCTGGTATGAGCCAACTCTGTGCAGATAAAGCCTCAGTTTCCTCATATCATGTTCCCAGAACAGCTGGAATATGGAGCAGACACATCGGAGGGGTTCTGCTCTTGAACTGGAAGAAAAAGGCAATCCTTTGATTCGTTAATTCCAATTAAGTATTTGGTCTGTCAAATGTAGTCTGACCGCTTAGACAGGTGCCTTTGCACCAAGTACCTACGTGTGCTATTTTCTGAAACGGGTCAGTAATTAAAGCTGCACCCTATGTAGAAACATGCATGTGAGTCAGATAGTTCCTGCCAGAGAGTCTGTGAGTCCTCTGCAATGTGAAGCACTGGGAAATGCAGCAAAGACATGCCTCTGTAGCCTCTACAGCTTAGGTCTAGCTGGTCTTACAAGCTGCTGCTTAGCAGAGCCGCATTTCCACAGCGCACAACCATGCTCCCTTTGCAAGTGTCTGTATCACATTCAAATGCTCCATTACTATAACATCAACAGGAGACTGAACACAGCATGTGCAAGTTCTCTGAAAATCAAACTGCTTAATCCTCTGATTCACAGTACTCACAGGCCCCACAATTCCTAGACAATCAGTATATGTAAACAGCATATATTTCATGTTTCATGCATGTTATCTTTCTGTAGGGCTCAGATGTTGCCCCACAGCATGGAAACAGGTACCATCTCTAATTATGTTGTAGGCTTACTTATGCAGATTGCTCAAACTCCCTATGTGGCAGCAAGAAATTAGCTAAAACGCTGGCACTGATTGGCAAATATGGAGAATAGATATTAACATGTTTCAGCTTTCATCTCCCATCAGTGCCCAAGGTAATACTGTAAGTACCCTGTTAACCAGAGGCAAAAGTATAGTTAAGTCCTTTAAAGGGACTTTAAGGACTTAAAATATAATTACGTCCTTTAAAAATAAGGTATCATATATTCTTCAGGTGATCAAAACTACTGTAACTTTAATACAGCTTTTCTCACTTACAGAATTACTCGCTCGACTACGCAGCAATACTGAAGTCTGGCTTTAATAGGAAAAATACTCATTACTTAAAAGAAAACACCATCAACAAAACCAAGCAACCTGGATCTTAACCTAGAGATTTTGGGGCGGTATTTCTCAGGTTTCTTAAACTGAAGTACAGCTGCAGCACATATAGGTAAAATTAACAGGAAGCCTGTATGAGAGCACCTTGGCTCAACCATTTCATGTTCTTTATGTGCCAACACCAAAAAAAAAAAAAATCATGTTTGTGAACTGTATAGTCTTTCTTCTCACTGCTCTCAGCAAATGCTTCTCCGATCTAAATAAACGTGTAGGATACTGCCCAGAGTTTTATTTCACATGACAGAAGATTTCTTAAGTGTATCTCTGCAAAAAAATTCCTGAACCCTACCTCTAGTAGAAAAAACAAGACCTGTAGCTCATACTTACTTCCAGTCCTAACTATTTAATGACACGCACACATATGCTTGGAGACTGGTGTGATCCTGACTCCATGCTGATTCTCTGTTTACAGTAAGCGATAGTAAAAAAGCCAGACATCTCCTGAATCTTGCTGATCTCCCTTGCTTTCACTGGAGAATCTCTTACACTCATTTATGAAAGGATATCGAAAAGATATAAAGGGTGCCACTACCTACTGCTTTCAAAACATACATACAAACAAGGAGAAATAAAAGACAAGTTCTTTACAAAAACAACCTTTGTTCTGAAACTGAACATTGATAAATGTGATGAATGAAAGAAGAAAAGATAAAGTAAAGCAGATTCTGCTTAGAACAGTAAGAAAGATTAAACAAACTTGCTTACAGGTATATGCCTCCGTTTGTATGTTGGGGTGCTGGATGGGGAAGAGCCTGCACTGAGAGCATTTTCAATATCCTGATCAAGCTGGTCCAGTTTCATAATTAACAGCACCATAGAATCCAGTCGTGATCGATCCCGATCTTCTTTCATTTCCTGAGGAACAAAACATACAACTGCTAAATCTGAAAGGACATTTCTTGGAAAGAATAAAAAGCTATTTCTTAATTTGGCACAAAAGCACATTGAATAATAGACAGAAAAG